CGAAGGGTTGTACTTACCAGTGTTGTTAGACCAAACAAACCAACTATTTACTATACTAGTCTTAAGGTACGTGCGTTGCACGTGTTCCCCGTGTCAATAAGTAAATAATTTTTAAAAACTCACATATGTATTATATTAAATAATATCTTATTTATAATAAAAATAAAATGTATAACTTTCTAAAAATATATATAGGTTGATCTCAAATCCAACCCAATAAAAGTCCTTAAGTTTTGTAAGAATATCTTACGAAAATTATTGCTATTTTTATGCCTTAATACAGAACAAACAAGTAAAGAATATTACTTTTATCACAATGACGTTGCCATGTAACTCCTATAAAATTTAATAAGTAAAAATATATGTTTTAAAAATGACTAATGTTGAGTCAATGATTTGTAATAATGAATTAATATATATAGGGATTTATCATTTGTTTGAATATTTGTAAAAAAAGAAAAAGAAAAATAATTAAAAATAACTCATTACAATATATTTTATCTTCTATTATTTCATCCTTATTGTTTCAAGTTTACATACGTTAATAGAAAAATAATTATTGATTGTATGTTATTTTATAATTATTGAGAAAATTCTGTACATTTAAAAATATTTTTCAAGTCAAAATAATTATTGAGTGTAGCCTTATATATTATATAAAATTTTAATTAATTTTAAAATTCTAAATATTAAAAAAAAAATTAACATGGAAGGTATTACAATTATGGTACAAACTTCATATAAGTAAATAATACATTCAAACTAATTTCTTCATTGATTTAAAGTTTAATATATTAGAATTTTCTATATAATTCAAATAAAGAGTTATTTAATATTAAAATTTTAGTTTATGTAAAAAGTTTTAATATTAAAAAAATAATTAAATATAGTGAACAAAAATTTTATCCAAAAAATATAAAATAATTAATAAAGGAGATAAATAAATATTAAACTAACGTTGATATACGTAGAATGGATTTTGATGCCCTAATATATTAACATTTCCCGTGTAATCATGCAAATAAAAAAGTTTTAATAAGTAAAGTTTTAGTTGACTTCAAAGTACTAAATATTAGGGAAATAATTAAATAACTATTTTATCTAGTGTAAGTTTTATTTTAAAAGGGTAAAAAAAATTAACGGTATTTCGTTTAGGGCCTTCGTGTTTTTAATATAGACGAACGATATTTTGTCTAGTGTAAACTTTAGTCTTATCATACACGCTTTGTTCATGTACCCAATATTAATATGTACATAACTTTTATGAATTACAAGAATTTTTTTACATGACGTATTTTGGCTATAAAATTAAAATTAAATTTTTTTATGTAATGATGAATGTTGATCTCATTTAGTTAGCTCATTATGAAAAAACCATGCCATATAAGTCCTCAAATGCCTTATTATGATTTCTGAGGAATTCTTTAGTTATATCTTATAAAAATTATTGCTAGTTTGTAACTTAATACTCGAAACAGACAAGTGACACAAAAATAATTTATTGCAATTCTCCAAAAATTTGTCAAATAAAGTAAATTAAAAAATTAAAGAAAAGTGACAATGTAAAGTTTAAAATGACCAATATTAAGTTAATATTTTATAATAAATAACTTAATAAATAAAAAGTATAGGAATTTATTATTTGTTGGACAAATGCAAAGGAAAGAAATCAATAATCACTCATTTAGAATATATTTTGTCTTCTACTATTTCATCTTTATTACTTTAAATTTATATTTTTATCAATTTAACTCTGTATTGTAACTACTTTTATTTTCTTATTATTTCTGTTACCATCAATACTATTATGTACTCTACAAGTTTTGCAATACTTATATTACGAATTTGTAAAATAATTGAATTGGATTTTCTACTAATTTGTTGATTCAAAACTTATTTTGTCAAATTAATTAAAAAACTTAATTATTCATTTTGAAAATTAGAGGGAATAATTTTTCTTCATTCAAATTCTTATTATTAGCTCATCCCAAGTTTAATAGTTAACTATAATTATATTATTATCTAATAAGAATTCTTTGTTCAAAAGATTAAAATATCTTCACGTAGAAAATTTTAGTTATTTTTAAAACTTTAAATATTAGAAAGATAACTAAACTATAGTGAGTAAAAATATTGACCAACATATGATTATAATAAATTCTAAAATTTATATTTTTAACCACTCTATTAGAATGTAAAATTTAAACCCCACCCACTAGTTTAAGTAAAATACCCGAATAAAAAAGTGACTACAACGTCATAATGTTAACACGTTTAGGACAAAAAAGTTAGGGTGGGATTAATCTACATAATTAAAATAAGGAAAAATTTACTAAAAAATCAAGTTTTAGTTGATTTCAAAGTCTTAGATATTAGGAAGTTAATTAAATAACTATTCCTAAACAGTGGGGAATTAATTAAATGAATATTCCTAAAAATTAGAAAAATAATTAAATGACTATATTGTCTAGTGTAAACTTTAATTTTGAAGAGTAAAAAAGGCGAACGACATTTCGCTAAGAGTATTCGCGCTTTTAATATAGTACTAGTCTTTATGTACGTGTGATGCGCGAATATTCTTAGAGGCGGACCAAGGTTGAAGAATGGGGACTCAAATAAATCTCATTTCGTATAAAATTATACTGTACAAAGAGCAATTTTTTTAAAATTATATATAAGCTGTTAAATTCCGTTGACATAAGAGAAAATTCAAGTGAAGAGACAAAATGGTTTAAAATATCTTGTATCAAATATTACAAAGGACGTATCAAAAGTAATAAACTTTCAATTGAATAGATATTCTAAATTATTGCTCAAATATAAAATTTAATGATTGATTCCTCAAAATAAAAATACTGATTTTTTGGTACCAACATTGAATAATAGTCGTTAATCAGATGTACCAACACTAATAAAATACTGCATTTTTGGTACTTGCCAACAATGAATAATCATAATAAAAATCAATCAAACTACTGAAGAAGACAAACGTTGTAATGAATAAAACATAAATATCAATCAAGCCATACAAAAAGGCACGATTAAAAAAAAATATATAAAAAAAAGACAAAATATACATCAGTCGAGAAAATTATATAGAATTTAAGCACTTTATACGAGGCATAGAAGTAGTAGAGCCTCAAAGATAGAGAAGAGAGTCGTTGTATTACTCCGTTTAAGTTGTTATTTATGAACGAACTTTATATTCCTTTTACATTGGATTGAGCTTCTAGTTACCCACCTTTAGATCTTCTATTGTTATTTAAATTTGTCTTCTACTCAAGTTTTAATTAGTCGATTCTACAACTATTATACGTGATCAAGTGCACCTTTAATCATAAGTTATCCTTATGCGAATATTTCAAATTGATTAAGCAATATATTTGGATGCAAATTCCAAGTTAGTTTGACCCAAAATCAACTTTAGGCTTACCGTATGTGTAGTTCAAATGAGAAAAAAGTTCCAACCTTAGCTGATTTCTAATTATATCCTCAAATTAGTTGCTCTTGAATTTTTCTTTACCAGTTGCTCACGGATTGATAGTCAATCTAGATGAATCAACACTCTATATTGTGGCTAATTGGTGACATGGATAATCAGGAACATCTATATCAATTTATAGGCATACTTGATTTTTCACCATTCGCATAAAAAATATTATTTTCTAAAAAAAAATATTTTCTCAAAAAAGTGTAAAGGTAATGAAAGGATTGAGTTATTGTTGCAACCAATCTGAATACAAGTTAAAACGTGTGTGCTACTTAGCCTACTTTGTCTAGGTGTCTCAAACGAATACATAATATTGTTTTCTTTATTGAGATTGTACTAAATACTTTTTCATTTGTCCTGTAAACTCTCAAATTAATTAAGCGTTATATTTGGTTTCAAATTCCAAGTTAGTTTGACCCAAAATCAAATTTTGTATATGTAGTTTAAATAGGAAAAAAATTTCAGGCCTAGATAATTTATAATTATATCCTCAAATTATATAAATATTTAAGGTTAAAAATGTCTATCAATATTTTGAGGATAGTTTGATCGTTCAACATTTAGTATAAATTATTCGTGCTTTTATAATAATATAGATATAGATATAGATAAATAATATAGTATAGATAGATATAGATATATGTATATCAGCGCTTTTATATAAATACATATTCAAAAATCAATTTTAACACTTAAAAGTTCTTTCATATTTGTCGGCTACTTTTAATTAATTAAGTGAAATAATTAAAGTATTTTCAATTAAGAGTACGCTACCATAAGATAAATGGCAATCAGGTAGGAGAAATTCATGTATGGAGAATAGGAAATATTAATTCGGAAATAAAATTGCTTTAATTCATATTTCAGTACTTAGATTATCACCCACAATACATCTCCACCGAAAATAATACTCTTACCTTTTGGGCAAAACTTATTATTCCAAGTTGATGAAGGATTCAACATATTGTAATAATTAAAAAGTTTCACAAAATGGCACTCCATATCGAATGATAAAATTCAACATATTGATGTGAATGATCTTTGATAAAATAGTACGGTCATTGTCCCTTTAAGTGATTTGACTTTCCGTTGCTATTTCTTGAAATTGACCTTTCATTATTAACATTCGAATGATAGCTCTAATTTAGGTTTACTCCAAATTTGTAGAATTATATGAAATTAATGCACATTTAGTCTTGTAAATAGTTATTGATACTTCAAAATATTCTTCTCACAAACTACATTGTGTACATAATGAGTTTTGTGATGTGTCTTATTCAAATTATCATTTAAAGTGTTGTACTACAATTTACCTTCTTTTTGGCAACCATACTTGACGATTGAAAATAGTTAAAATCGCGCTTGCGCTGGAACGTGGCAGGCTAAGGTTCGATCCTATGGTATATCAGATCGTGGTGTAAAGATAGATTGCCGAGCTCGAGACCCTGAGACCGATTAAGATCGCGACCGACCAAAACCGAGATCGACCAAGATTGAGACTGAATAAGAAGGAGATCGGGGGAAGCTTACTGGGTTGAATTATAGAAAAATGAAATATTCGTAATCGGGCGAGGATCACGGTGCAAATTCCGGAACATATCAAGAAGATGCCGATTAATTAGCCAATCATGTGATTTCTTACTATATTTGAAATTGTACCAAGAGTGGGACTCCCGTACTATATAAAGGGTGTTTGAGCATTTATAAAGAATATATTCACGTTACATAAAGCAATATACTACTTTTCTCTTAAGCTCTCAATACTCTGTTACTTTATTTATATTTTTCAGGCAAATATTTGTTTGATTCGAAGGCGACTTAGCTCAAAGATCAAGGCTATACATTTCCTTTGGTTTGCTTTATTTCTATTTGCGGCTAATTTCAATATCAATTTGCGTTTTTTTCTCAGTTTGTGGCAAGTAAAATCACGTGTCCTTAAAATCACAATATAAATTCAATTGTTATCCGTTTTTAGGATAAACAGTTTGGCACCTACCATGGGGCTAAGGATAATAGTGGTTGCCTAGTACAAACTTTCATAACACACACAATTTTACACTAGTTCTTTGAAGTATCTTTGATTATAGGATTAAAAAATATCAAATTCTCAGTTAGCACCTCAACACATTGACAATGATCTCAGCCACCATGGCGAAAGTGAGAACATTGCACCAGGAAACATTGTATCCCCTGCCGGCCTCGATGGAATTCCGGCTGTAGATCCTATCGACGTCAGTTCGCATGTAGCTATTAATGGAAATTTGGCAGTCGATCCCGAAAGTAGTGTTTGCGGGGGTACCCGATCAACTACTCAGAACACACATGGCAGTGAAGATGGCAGGGTCAGCCTGCAGGTGATCTTTGAAATGTTGCAGACCCAACAAGCAGCAATAACCCAGCTCCAAAACCAGAACCACACACCAGCAGGCACTACAACAAAAATGGGCTTTAGCGGCAATAGAAAAGGTCATTTGCGGCAATAACAATTGCAGCTATATCCTTTACCGGCCATTGGTCTTTAGCCGCTGAAGTCGGGGTCGGCAAAGCCTTTAGCGGCCATTCTCACAAAAGTTGGTAAAAGGTATGATTTATTCCCGCTAAAAATCATTAGCTTTAACGGCAATTGTTTGCGACAATTATGATGGCTGCTAAATCCATTTCTAGAAATGCTTAGTTTGCTCTTTTAGCGCCTATTTTTATTACCGGTAAATTAAATTAAATTGCCTCTAAAATTACATACTTTACCGACTATTATAGTGGTTGCTAAATTCATGCGAAAAGTAATTAAGTTTACACTACGTTTATTTTTATTATCTATAAATCCAATTAAATTTTTGAGAAATAATAACCCTTTTAGCGGCAGATGAAAGGTACAATTTAACAACCTTTTAATTGTCATTAAAACTATTTTTGAAATGGCAAATACTATAAAATAATTCATAAAACACATAATATTTAATTAAATCTAGACAAAAAAGTACTAATCTATATTATTACTGTATAAATGACATAAAAGATAAAATTACATTGTTTGAAGTAAATAACTAATATTATTAGAACTAATCATATTGAATGCCTACAATAACAAAATAATAGATACATAAGTCCACAATAAATATTTGCAACTCTTCATTATATTGAAATCTTCCAAATGCAAAAAGTTTGGACATCATTAATGTATGACCTAAAATAATAATAAATGTATATTAAAAGATGAAATCAAATGAAAAAAAAATTAGTAATTCTATACGTAAATATATTCTGAAAGGAGCTGCCAACTTCAACAAATTAAAATGGATCCCAACAACTGAGAAAACATTGAAAAAAATCATTTAACAAAACTCACAATTGCTCAACATTTCATTCATTATGTCGTGATCAATTAAGGGAACAAACAAATAAATGAGAATGTTCATTTAACAAAATTCACTAATCCGTAGAATTATACTACTCAGGTCAGCGGGGTATCGAAAACAGTCTCTCTATCCCATTGGAGTAGGGATAAGGTAATGCGTACGCGTACGCACTACCCTCTCCAAACTCCACTTTGTGAGATTTTACTGAGACGTTGTTTTTGTTGTTGTTGTTGTAGGCCAGAAAAGTTGGATCCTTTAGTTAGTCTAGAAATTGCTTCAAAAAGCAACTTTTTAATTCTCCTTTTCAATAACACACATAGTACCATAGACATATCAGATAACTTAATTTTATTACTATATTTATAGATCAACTTAGCATAAATTTAATCATGTAAATAAGTTGATCAGAAGCAATTGGAAAAAGCTAGCGGTATAATAGCAGATAAGCATTTTTTTTAAAAATAACAGAGAAACCTATTTGACAACACAAATTGAGATACAAACCAAACATTAAGATACAACCAAGTTTGACACTTCATGCCATAACAAAATAATTATTCTAGATAATCAAATTATCAAACATTTCCCTCATTCAATTTCAAAAAGAATGGTGTCATACCTAGAATAGAACAAGAGTTGTAATTTCCCGAATATTATTATGTTGAGCATGATAATGGTAACTACTATTCCTTAAACTTGATGAGCTGAACAACTTCAATTTTCCCTAGGCGTATTTTTTCTATAGCAAAACCTTTACCTATTTGGACAATATTCTAATTAGTAAACTGAGAAATCATAACAATATTTTTATTGCTAAGTGTGTTGTTTAGCAACATCTATCTATTCTTGTAGAAATTTATTTTAAGAATACTCAATAAAGACAAATAAGGATATTTACTTGGAAGAAATATGGTAGACACAGAACATCCTTTGATCACATAAAACATATTCCAACCCTTTCCATAGAAGCAAACCTATAACACAAGATAAAAACTTGGGTCAAATAGATAGTCAATCTCAGATATAAAATTCCTATACAGATAGGAAGCATCTAAGAATTAGTACTAAATTTGAGCAACTTTGGCTTTTACGATATGATCTGCACTATCTTTAAGGGGGGAAAAATTAATCAAACATCCGTTAAAGAATTTTAAAAAAGTATCATTTTTAAGAACAAAAAAGGGAGAAAAGAATTCAATTTCCTAGGAGTAGTTGCTTTCTTAGGCGGCAATTAAAAGTCTATGATGTCTAAACATATAACACAAGGGTGGTAGAGTATATTTCAATCACGTTCGCTTGACAACTTTCACAAACAAAATTTTCCAACCACATCATGTCTCTAAAATATGTGTTCTTTGCTAACTCGTGCATAATTAGATTAGAACCAGAATCAAATTAGCCTTGAAAAATTATGTAAAAATGAGAAATTATTTACTTTGTTGACGACTTACCCTATGCAATAAAAAGAACAATGTTTCTTAGCTGTGCAACTTTCAAGTCTTCCTCTTCACTTAAGAAATACTAGTTTTAGCATACGCGCGTTGCGCGTGTCTCTCGTGTTAATGAAAAATAAAATTTTATAAATAAAATAAATAATATTCAAAAATATGTTTATGTTATTATATAAAATTAAGAGTAGTTCTTCCTTAGGAGTTTAATCTAGTCTAATAGTTCTTCCTTCAGTTGTTTCTCTTGCTTGCTTTATTGTACAAAAAAAGTTATAGGAATAGCGTTTGATTGAAAGGTAAAAAAGTCATTCAATTTTACTTGAGGACTCGGGTACGTACATTGCATGTATATTTCATGTTACTTATTAAAAAATTTATGTAAGATAGTTTACCAACAATTAATTTTTTTTATCTTTACTTATTTTACGGTACTACTAAAGCTGTAACCTTATTCTATTGATAACTTAATAATCATATAGGCATCCGAACTCAATTATTATTAACAATTTTTATATTATTTTTTTGCTCAATTATTATCTTATTTTACCTATAATTTCTTTCTAAAGTACTTTTACTCGCGACCAATTACATATATATGTTCTTTTTCTATTCCTATTTTTGTGTACAAAATATATATTGATCAACTTATTCTACCATTTAAAATAATGTCACATTTAAAAAAGATTATCATTTGATTATTTCTTAATATTTAGACAATAAAAATGGACAAAACTTGTAAGTATATTTCAAATTCTACGTCCTTATTGTTAAAAGAAAATAGAATGTCACAATTGCTTTTTAAAGTCTAAATTCATGCCACCTTAATATGAATTGTCATTAATGTTTTCATTTTTTTAAAATCAAAACTATGACTTAAATGCACTATTTCTTACGTGCCTTTTTAAATATTAGGCATAAAATTGATGGATCAGTTATTTACTTTAATTTTATTTAAAACACACGTTATTTACTTTTTTTCACAGAATATATATCCATGAAAGCAACATGTAAGAATTATAATTATGTGACATATATAATTCAAATAAGGAAAATATTTAAGTTAGGTAAAGTTTTAATTGACTTTAATGTCCTAAATTTTAGGGTCTCCTACCTAGTTCAATGGAAAATAATTTAATAACAAAAATTTTAGTCAATTTCAAAGAACAAAATATTAGGAGAATAATTAAATGACTATTTTGTTTAGTGTGAACTCCAATTAAAGGGTAAAAAAGACGAATGACATTTCGCTAAGGGCCTTCGTGCTTTTAATATAGTATAGATTATAAAAGAAAAATAGGCCATCATAACAAAGAGATAAAGGGAAAAAATATAATTCTCATATGATAAAAAATCCAAAGAGCAGATATTAGAAATTTGAGCCCTTACCTTTAGAATTGCTCACATGAATATGTTGTTGTCTTATTGAGAAAGAGCGAGAAGAGTTCATTGTTGTGAAAAAAATGAGTCACAAAATTGCTTATTACTCTATAAAATGGAAGCTAAAAGCTTTCTAAGATGATAAAGTTACAAGAAAATAACATAAAGTGATTAAATATACTGTAACTGCAAACCGCTATTATAAAAGAAGGTACTGTAGCTACAAAAATAAACCTGCATTGTGAATTTCAATTCTATTAGAGATCCTAACATCACTACATGATTTTGGGTGATATAGTATTCAAGTTATTTACCAGGTCATAGTGACTAGGGAAGTTTTAAGAACATTAGCAAAGATGTTCTAATTTGAAACAAGTGGAATGAAATATCCAACAGGCTCTGTTGAGCAAAGTCATGAAAAAACTTAAACATATGAATAGAAATTTCAATTTCCTAATTTCTTCACGGTAATAATTATGTCAATTATGTCTAAAAATCTCTTCACGTGATCAAGGGGGCTATCCGAGTGATCCACAAACGACGAAAATCTCTCCTTTTCATATATTTGTTCATACTAGACCTTCTGACTAATTCTGTCAAATCTCAATTATTTAGTAAATCTATAATCAGGTTGCCTTGCAAATAAAAATTAGACAATTTAACTTATCGTATAACCTTACAATTCACGAAACTATTGTTTCAAAAGTTCCATCTCTGAATTACCTTTTTAGTTTGATTTCTTCTTTCTAATTAACTGAAAAAATCATTTGAAACATCCTTCATAAGTCCAAATTCATCTCCATTCTCTACATTTTGGGATCCATCAAGCCTCAACAATTAGACCTTTCAAAAACTAACTTTTCTAGAAAAAAAAATATATCATTAGCACATTACAAATACAATTTTCTATATAACCCAACCATGTCACCGCCTCCGTCTCCCATTACACTAAGATTAGGTCTTAGATGATTAACCTAGAAACTTTTCCACATCTCATCAATCATGAACTCGTGTAAATTGCATTCCAATTTCCTTCTTCAAGTTTCTTTACATTCTCCGTCAAATCTTATCTAATCAAACCCATAATATAAAATCAATAGATCAAGAGAGAGAGATAGAGAGAAAATGGGCGAGTGAGACTAAGAGAGAGAGAGAGAGAGAAAGAGAGAAGGAGAGAGAGAAAGATGAGTTGGGTTACCTCGGGATGGTGGTCGGCGATGATCAGAGAAAGATGCGATTGGCAGCGGCGTGGCTGAGAGAGATGAAACCCTTTTGCTTATTTCTTTTTTGATTGAATATATTTAATTTACATGGAGACTATTTGGAGGGAATGGGTGATTATGTGTAAAAAAATGGGAGGGAAAGATGAAATAATAGAAATTGCGTTCAATTGTTGAATTTTGTGGCCGATCCGCTTAATTGCCAATAAAATAGCACCTTTTCCTGCAAATGTTGATCTACCGCTAATATATCAATTTTGGGATTACTATATTGGCAATAAGTTTATTACCGCTAAAAATTAGTCGGTAAAAGTTATTTTTGTTGCAGTGGGGTCGAACTTGAGCCATCCTAGGAAGTCATACACTGGGTCGAATCGGCCTCAAGGAAATTGAATGAGAAGGAATCAGAAACTAATCCTGCTATCATAAAGATGCTCAAAGAATTGACAAAGCGAATCCAGACAGGGGAAAAGAAGATCGAGGAAAACGATAAGAAGGTGGAAACCTATAACTCCAGGGTCGATCAAATCCCCGGGGCACCACCGATATTGAAAGGACTAGATTCCAAAAAGTTTGTACAAAAATCTTTCTCCCCAAGTGCAGCTCTAAAGCCAATCCCCAAGAAGTTCCGTATGGTCGAGATTTCTAAATATAATAGGAAGACTGATCCAAACGAACACGTCACCTCATACACGTGTGCCATCAAAGGAAATGACTTGGAAGATGGCGAGGTTGAATCCGTCTTGCTGAAGAAATTCAGGGTGACTCTATCGAAGGGTGCTATGATATAGTATCATAATTTACTGTCTAATTCTATTGGCTCGTTTGCTATGCTTGTAGATTCTTTTGTAAAGGCACATGCCGGGGCCATCAAGGTCGCAACCAGGAAGTCGGACCTTTTCAAGGTAAGGCAGAAGGACAACGAGATGCTCAGGGAATTCATATCTCGATTCTAAATGGAACATATAGATTTGTCACTGGTCACTGACGATTGGGCTGTTCAAGCTTTTACTCAAGGTCTCAACGTTCGAAGTTCGGTAGCTTCACAATAGTTGAAGATGAATTTGATCAAATACCTAGTTGTCACTTGGGATGATGTACACAATCGGTATCAATCGAAAATCAGGGTCGAGGATGATTAACTGGGGCTCCTTCTGGGTCCGTTTATCCTATCAGTCCCGTAGATAGAATCAAGAGAGATATTGACCAGGAACCAAGGTCAAATAGAGATCGATATCAACCGTATAATGGGGACCGTAGAGGCAGCGAATTTGGGTGAAATTCTGCATGGAATGAGAGGAGAAATGATCGAGGTCAAAGTTCACGAGGACTTGGTACTAAAGAAGGTCACATTAAACTCTCGGAGCCCATCCACATTAGCTAGGCACACAAACTCGACCCTACAACCTCAAAACTCCATCATCTCCTAAGTAACCTGCTTGGCACCTCCTTGCTGCACCATGTCACTAAGGACATACAAATGGGGATCATCATACTGCCGATCACGGATACGCTCCAATAATGAAGAACGAGCGATTGTGCAAGCTAACACACGGTTGGGCTCATAAACATCCAACCTCACGAACTGATTGGCCAAAGCCTGAATATCCAAAGCAAGCGGTCTCTCACCGACCGGAATATAAGCAAGACTGCCCAAACTGGCTAACTTTCTACTCAAAGCATAGGCCACCACATTGGCCTTTTCCGGATGATATAAGATGGTGATATCATAGTCCTTTAACAGCTCCAACTACCTTCTCTGCCTCAAATCAACTCCTTCTGCTTGAACAAGTACTGTAGACTCTTGTGATCCATGAACACCTCACATGCCACGCCATACAGATAATGCCTCCAAATCTTCAATGCCTGAACAATGGCTGCCAACTCCAAATCATGAACCAGATAATTCTTCTCATGAATCTTCAATTGGCGCGAAGCATAAGCAATGACCTTGCCATCCTGCATCAACACTGCACCAAGCCCAATACGAGATACATCACAATAAACTATATATGGACTTGAACTTGTGGGCAAAACCAACACCAGTGCTGTAGTCAGAGTTGTCTTGAGCTTCTGAAAGTTCGCCTCACACTCGTCCGACCACCTGAATTGGGCACCCTTCTGGGTGAACCTGGTCATCGGGGCTGCGATAGATGAAAACCCCTCCACGAACCGACGATAGTAGCCTACCAACCCTAAGAAACTCCGAATCTCTTTAGTTGATGCTGGTTTAGGCCAGTTCTTGACTGCCTCAATTTTCTTCGGATGAACCTGTATACCCTCTGCTGATACAATATGACCCAGGAATGCAACTGAACTCAACTAGAACTCACTTCAAAAACTTAGTATATAACTAACTATCCCTCAAGATCTGAAGGACCACTCTAAGATGCGGCTCGTGCTCCTCTCGGCTGCGGGAATATATCAAAATATCATCAATGAAGACTATCATGAACGAATCCAAATAAGGCCTGAACACTCGGTTCATTATATCCATAAAAGTTGTTGGGGCATTTGTTACCCCGAATGACATCACCAAGAACTCATAATGCCCGTACCGAGTGCGGAAAGCTGTCTTAGGGACATCGGATGCCCTAATCCTCAAGTGATGGTAGCCAGATCTCAAGTCAATCTTCAAAAATACCTTGGCACCCTAAAGCTGATCATNTATCCCTGTCGGGTGGCATACCCGGCAGGTCTGAAGGGAATACCTCAGGGAACTCACGAACAACAGGCACAAAATCAATAGAAAGAACCTCGCCACTAGAATTACGAAGATATGCCAAATAGGCCAAACACCCCTTCTCGACCATACGCCGAGCCTTCACATACGAGATAACACTGCTAGTAGAATGACCAAGAGTCCCTCTCCACTCTAAACGAGGTAAACCCGGCAAGGCTAAAGTCACAGTCTTGGCATGACAATCCAAGATAGCGTGGTAAGGTGATAGCCATTCCATCCTCAATATGACATCAAAATCAACCATATCCAATAGTAACAAATCTACACGAGCCTCAAGACCCTCAATCACAACTATGAATGAACGATGAACACGATCCATAACCATAGAATCACCCACCGATGTAGACACATAAACAAGAGCACTCAAAGAATCACTAGGTATGACCAGATACAACGCAAAATAAGATGACACATAAGAGTATGTAGATCCTGGATCAAATAAAATTGAAGCATCTCTACTACAAACCAGAACAGTACATGTACCTCCACCTCTAGCACCTCCACCTCTACCTCTAATACTTCTACCTCCACCTCTAGCTGACTGAGCGGGCTGAATGAGTCCCTCAATGAACCTCCTCCTCTCTCTCTCTCTCAGTGGGAAGTATAAGAGGAGCATGAGGGGTCAAATCATTAAACTTGGTCTCGTACCGAGTAACATTCATAGAACTCTGCTGGAGATGCTTAAACTACCTCGAGTAGATCTCTCTTTGAGTGACAGGATGAAACTTATCCAGAAATAACTGAGAAAACTGATCCCAAGTCAAAGCCGGTGATCCGACTAGTTTAGCCAAGCAATAATCTCTCCACCAAGTCTTGACAGATCCAAACGAGCGAAAAGTAGCAAAATCGACCCCATTGGTCTCCACTATCCCCATGTTCCTGAGAACCTCATGATAACTGTCTAGATAATCCTGGGGATCCTCAGAAGATACACCGCTGAAAGTAGTAGTGAAGAGCTGGGTGAAACCTATCCAACCTCTGCAAAGCCTCCAAAGATATAGCTGATCTAACACCAGTCTGTGTTGTTATTCGGTTGAAGAAGCGTGTTGTTGTTCGGTTGAAGAAGCGGTACGTGACTTCGCCATTCGTGAAAGGACAAGAGTAAAGATTGCAATTTAGCGTTGAGAGAACCAAAATCACACGACCGAGAAGAATAGAAGTGAAACTTTTCCTAACTCTGTAGCCTCTAGGGATAAGTACAGACGTCTCTGTGCCGATCCCTCAGACTCTACTAAGCTTGTCCATGAATTGTGAGACCTATGTAACCTAGAGCTATGATACCAACTTGTCATGACCCGGATTTCCTACCATTGGGAGTCGTGATGGCGCCTACTCGTAGAAGCTAGGCAAGCCGCGAAATAAAGAATCACTAACTCTTTCATTTTAGCCCTTTTTAACAATTTGAATTAATAAGTAATCATCATTGAAATATTAACGATAAATAAAATCAAGCGAAAGGCTTAATCTGATAAAATAACCAAAACCAGTACGACAATGCTAACATACGTCTCTACCCGGAATCCGGTGTCACAATATCATAGACTGTCTACGAATACTACAACAAATGTTTGAAAGGAAAGTACAATTTGTCTTGGAAACAAATAAAAACAGAATACATAATAAGATATAAGAGAACGTCGGGCCTGCAGACACCTGCAGGACTACCTTGGGATCTTTACCTGGACTGAAGGCAGCCACCCAAATGCTACTGGCTAAAAGCTGCTCCGGGATCTGCACATAGTGCAGAGTGTAGCATCAACACAACCGACCCCATGTGTTGGTAAGTGTCTAGCCTAACCTCGGTGAAGTAGTGACGAGGCTAGGACTAGACTACGAAATAAACCTGTGCAGTTAAATCATATACAGTGGAAAAGAAGAACAATAATGTACAATTAAGTTTGGGAGGGGGTAACATGTTGTGGGGACATCGAATAATAACAGAAGAACAACAAATAAATATGGGGATCACCACAGTTCAATTAAAAATAGAAAGGGGGAATCATGCTGCGGGGTACAACAAGTATCAACAGGAAACCAACAATTAAATGTAGAGAAATCGTAACTCAGTTATCAATAAAAATCAAGAAATCAAAGATAAGTGTACGACATCACTCTTCGTGCTTTAACACTCTCTCACCAAAACAATACACGACATCACCCTTTGTGTTTTAACACTCTCTCACCAAAATAATGCACAGCATCACCCTTCGTGCTTTACACTCTTCCTCATCCAAGCAACAATCACAAGGCAAATAGGGTAAGAAAATCTATAACATCGAAATAAAATCAAGTAACAACAGAAAATCAGTAAATGAACGTAAATGACAACATAACTCAATTATCAGCAAGAATCAGGAAAATCAAGGACAAGTGCACGGCATCACCCTTCGTACTTTTACTCT